CAGCGGTGCCGGGACTGCGAGGAGGAGCCCCGTCCTGGGCATCTACCGGGACAGCGGCTCCCGTCCGGCTGGAGACCAGGCCTGCAAGGGGCGGAGAGGTCCCCTGGCCCTACTTGGGGGAGGCGGGCAAGAAGCCCAACATAGGGGGTGGGTGGTGCAGGGCGGAGTATGTGTCTCCCAGGGATTCGAGAGGCAGGGCTCCCCTTGCTGCACTCCAAGTCCCCGAGGAGAGAAGTTAATTCCAAGAGAGGAAGACCGGGCGGCCTTCCTGGGGTCTAGAGTCGAGTGGAGGAGGTTCCCCTATGGAGAAAAGGGGAGCTCAGTGGGGTGGGGGGGTCCTTACCCGGCCTCGGCTTGAGAGGGATCCTCCTTGGGGAGGGGGGGGGCGGAATAGAAGAGAGTTCTGCCAAGGAGGTGGGCATCCGGCGTCCGTTCTTCTGACTTGGACCTGGGGGTTCGGCTGAGAGAACTGGTTTTATTTCCGCTGTGCGGGATAGGAAAGTGCCTGTGGGTGCCGGGGCCCGGGGCGGCGCCTCCCTGCCTGACCACTGCCTGCCCTGGGGGCTCACTTTCCATTTTTTTTACCCCTCTTCTGGAATGAGCTGGTCCCACTTCCCTAACCTATAAGCTGAGGCTCTCAGACGGCTATCTGGCACCACCTCCTAGAAGACGGGCTTCTTTAGGGGGGTGGATGGTGAGTCCCACTTCACAGGTGAGAAAGTGGAAGACGGAGGGCGGACTTAGCAAGTTAGCAACAAGGAGCAGCTCTGGGTCCCAGCTTTTCCTGCTGGAGTTACTCACCTGTGGCAGGGAAAGGCTGCAGGAGTTCTGGGCCAGCCCCGGGCCTGTGCTTCCAGCTCTCCCCCCACCCCCAACCCCCCGCGGCTGAAAGGTAGGCTGGGGCCTTTGTGCTTCCACCTCCCCCCACCTGCTTCCCCATTCCCCCAAGCCCAAAGGTTCATGAATTAAACAGAATTAAAGACAGTGTAAACCTTGAACTGCCTCCTGATTTCTAGATGCTGTGGTTTTTTTGGCCAACTGGTGGCAGTTGTTTTCGGGAAGCAAATCCCGGCTGGGGCTCTCACTTAAAGTGCCCAGGAGGCTGCCCTGCCTCTGCCCGCTAGGAGGCCTGCTTTGCTTTTTGAGTGGAGGCCATTGGACTCCCCAGGTGCAGACTTGATTCTTTTCTAGAGTTGAGATGGTGGTACCTATTTGATTGGAATTGCATACAGTAATCCCTCAATAAAAGTTTGCCACCGTTGGCATCATTATCTAGCACCTGGGCTAAGCAGGCTGCCCTGTTTGGGGGGGGATGCATGAATCTTTGGCCAGTGTTTAAATCTGCCCCCAATAAGTTCATTGTTTCCTATGTCCTTGTTATTACTGCTGTGAAAGGGGAACGTGCTAAATAACCCCAGATTGTGTAAATGAAGCCAGTTGGAGTGATTTAACCTCTAACCCCCGAAGCTCCTGAGCTATCTGATGGGTGGAATAGTCCCTATCACATACCATATTGGGCTCGGGTGGAGACTCAATGAGATAGTGCTTGACAAAGCAGGTGGTGAATATTGACATCTGTATTAATTAACCAGTAGCCCCTCTTTTAAGGGTAGCCATTAGTAAGACTTGGGGATGAAGGGAGGCACCCCCTACTGGCCCCTCCTTTCCTGCCTTCCTCCACCAAGGTATTATTCCTGTTAACTATGAAAGCTTTTCCAAATCATCATCCTTGATTTGGGAGTTGGCAGGAAGGAGTGCCTTTGTTCCTTTTTGAAAGGAGCCATGGTTTTCTTTTATGGGTTGGGGACATTTTAAACTGCCCATCCTCCCCCCAGCTTGGGGTCTTGAATTCTTAATTTCTAGCTAAGCAAGGTCCTTTACCTTGCCCCTTTGGGGTGGAGAGGGTCGAGACAAAGGGGCCAGTTTGGGGCTAGCAGCATCCTGCTCCTTAAAACCATAGGCATAATCTCCACCCCTTGCAAATGTTTGAAGGTGGGGGGGGGAAGCATCTGGGAGCTGCAGGGGTCTAAGGGGAGGAGCTAGGGAGAAGAGGTTGGGGGAGGCTGCTTCCCTTTCTTCCCTTCCTCCAGCCACGTGGGGGGGCCTATGACCCAGAAGTGCCTGGCGCCCCTTATCATTGCAACCTCAGAGACCTGCTTCTGATGTTGGGTTTGGGCAAGTTCTGGGAAAACTTACCTTGAGATTGAGTCATTTGTCTCAGACCAGCTCTCATGTCAGTTGCTGGGCCTCCAGGCTCAGACCCCTTTTCCAATTTCATCTGAGATGGTCCTGGCTAAATCTGAAACTCTGGGTCCTACCCTATAGCAAGTGTCCCCTCCCCAGGCCCTTGATAGGTACAGGACCTCAGTTCAGACATGCCCTTGTGTTGAGCAAGTTTTTAAAAGATCATGCACTTGATTTTCAGTTTCTTGGTGGACCAGGGCTGGAGGAGTTCAGAATACCTCCTTTTCCTTGCAGACCACCCTCTTTGTAAAGTGATGGATGGACTTGCCTCTCTTCTTGTTGGGGCTGATGTTCTCACTGGGCCTCTTTTGCAGCTGATGGAACTGAGGGTCTGGGATATCCAGTCACTTTCAAAATTTGGTGGTTAGCTCTTTTCAGAACGCTTTTACATCTGCCACTATCTCAGGACAGCGTTTGGGAGGGAAAATGCCTGGAAAATGGCAGAGGAATCCTGCATATAGGGCTGCTGCATCCTGCTCTTTAAAACCATAGGCAAAACCCCCTCCCTCTCTCGATTTTTGTTTCCATCTGTGCAATGGGTACAAGCACACACCTACCCAGTAGAGGGCCTAGGAGGACTAAATGGAATCCAGGGCACTTTTAGCTTAGCAAGCCGTAGTTGCTCATTCACAATAAGTTGGGGTGGGGGTGGGGGGGGAGGAGCTCTAAATATTGTGAAGATTATGTTATTTGTTGGGTCATGTTATTTGTCCCAGACAATAGACTAAAGGGGTTTGGGCTTTGAAATTAACTTTTGATTTATAGTCCTATTTGCTTCATTTATAAACCAGTGACCTCTGAGCCTCAGTTGTTCCATCTGAAAAATAGGGATATTGTTGGCCAATCCCAGGGGATATTGAAGTTGACTTGCTACAGATTAAAAAATACACATACTGAGGGTTCAATAAATGTTGCATGTTATGCAGTAAACACTCAAATATTGGTAAGTGGTTATGATTCACCACTTCCTGAAAGAAATGCAGTGTCAGTTAGTTAGCATTCCCGAGTTTTCCAGGTAATAAAGAATTTGGGGACTGTTTTGTGTAGAGAATTTGAATATTTCAAAAAATGATATTCACTGTATTTCATACACATGAAAATCAAATTCACCTTCTGATGCTAAAAGAAACAGGTCATCACCTGTAAGCTCAGTCCCAAGGTTCCTCATGCTTTGCTTTTGTTCGGGGGCCTCGGTTTCTCCTAAGCATGGAGAAAAATGCAGTCAGGGCCAGGAGCCCTACCTAAGCGAAGGGACAAGAACCCAAGGAAAGGACAGGTGGTGAAGAAACGTGAAGTCTTAGATTTAGAAGGCACTGCTGTCACCTTGGGCCTGATGGAAGACAGTTTTGGGTAACAGTGGGAAGAGAGTCTTTGGAATCTGCAACACTTTGACCAGCTTGCCTGACCAAAGTACTTAAGTCACATCACCCACAGAGATTTCCATTCATTCCGTGTGGTCTATGGCCTCTGCCCTTGCAAACCCCTGCCTGTTCCCCACACCCCAACCACTCTGCTTTTTAGTTTTGCGATATAAGAATTAAACTTAAAATTTCCAGAAAATTGTCTTTTACAGCCTTTGAAATTTGTGGGAGAGCGGTAGCCATTGAAAAGATATGAGCAGGAAATTAGAAATGCATTTCCAAAAATGCCTGAGTGAACGGGTGGGCGATGAACAGTTGCCGGTGGAGAAAGGTTCTTAACCAATAAATTTCCTTTTGGGATCAGGTTGATGCTGATCAGATGTGTGAAAAGAGGGGTGTAGGGGGAGGGAGGCTCAACATGGCTGGGGACCCTATCTTAAGATTGAGGGAATAAATTTTCTTGGATCATCATCTCCCTTGTTTTTTTCCTGCTCTCATTCTATAATTCTTATTCAGATGTGGAGTCTCCTGGCCTGGTGGAATTTCCTGTGATCATTTGTTGATTTCGGAGAGGGAGAGTAAGAGAGAAATGGAAACATAATGACAAGAAAGAATCAGTTGTTGGCTGCCTCCTGCACGCCCCCTACTGGATGGAGCCCGCCACCCCCCACCCAGGCCTGTGCCCTGACCAGGAATCAAACCATGACCTCCTGGTTCATAGGGCCATGCTCAACCACTGAGCCATACTGACTGAGTGACCATTTGCCCTTACTGTTTTATTTTCTGGGTGATACCCTCAGCTACCAAGCCCTCTGTTGTGTTTTGAAGAGTTCTTGTTCTACAAATTCCGTTTATAATGGTATCTTCATCTCGTTTTTATCTCCCTCAGAAGATTAATTCTAGTGTTTAGTGATCCCCTTAATATTTATTTCTGAATATAGTTGTGTTTTTTTGTTTTGTTTTTTTGTTTTTTACTGTTTTCAAACTTTATCACCGTATTTGAGAGCAACCAAAATTGTCTGGGACTTGAGTACTGAAGGATTTCTTTGTGAGACAATGCCTTGAACTTGTCTTTTGGTTTCCCAAGATCTGAAGGAAGTTCTTGGCTGTTGGGTCATCTTATTTTTCAGAGCAGAGGAAATTCTGGTGCCCTGCCTAGGAGGTACAGGCCTGGCTGTAGGGGAAGGGTACTGCTGGGCGGGAGGGAGGTCTCAGTCTGCCCTCAGTCGTCTCCTCTGTTGCATGCTGGGTGGAGAACTGGTTGCCTCTAGAACAGGCTGGAGAAGGGGATTGGGGCGGGGTACCTATTTCTTTTCTATCCTTCCCTGCAGCCCCATGTTAGGTTAATTTGGCCTCTTCCTAAGTAGCATTTGTTTCCAGTTGCATTTGCTTCCTATTGCAAGTAAACATGCTTGGACCACCACTGGGGCTGGTTGCCAGGCTTGCACTGGACTCCGGCTCCCGGAGAAGGGATAATGCCTCTTGGTCAGTTTTTCCAGCAGCCAGCACAGTGCTGGGCCCCTGGCACCTGGCGCCTTGGCTATGTTCTCTGTAACTTGGCTAAAGCAGCAAAAGCAGGCATTGCTCTGAGTGCCATGTAACTGCAGCAATGGAACCACAGGAGACACTGAGAGTGAGTAGAAGGAAACCAGCTCACCTGGGATGCGGTGAGAAACCGAGTGTTAACTAGGCTGGATGCCTGGACAGGCAGGTGCTGTTGACAGATTTGCAGGGTTGTTCTGGATTTTCCTGGGGTACAAGGGAGGCAGTGTGCAGCTGGATTTGGAAAATTCTGAGCAAATGTGTAGAATCTTGTTTTGAACTCTTGGCAAAAGGGTATCTTGTAGTATAAGAATAGTGTAGATTTGGGGGTGAACCAATCTTGTTATTATTGTAACTGTCT